TTTTTGGTGTTGTACGTGGACGATATCCTACTCATTGGGAATGATGTAGGAATGTTGACTTCGGTCAAGGTATGGYTRTHRCARCAGTTCTCCATGAAAGATCTTGGAGAAGCTTCATATATACTGGGTTTTCGACTCTATAGAGATAGATCGAAGCGGATAATTGGATTATCCCAGGTTGCTTACATTGACAAAATTGTCAAGAGATACAACATGGAGAACTACAAGAAAGGAAACGTTCCTCTCAGGCACGGAGTCACTCTCTCCAAGAGAATGTCTCCCAAGACTTTTGAAGAGATTGAGGGCATGAGAGACATTCCCTATGCCTCAGCCGTAGTGAGCATCATGTATGCCATGCTGTGCACTCGCCCAGACATTGCTCAGGCGATGAGTGTGGTAAGCAGATTCCAGGCCGACCCAAGGTAGGAGCATTGGACTGCTGTGAAGAACACACTCAAATACCTTCGAAGGACAAAAGAGTTTTGTCTGGTATTCGATGGTAGTTCACTACAAGTTCTAGGGTATACTGATGTCGATTTCCAGTCGGATCCAGATGATAGAAAGTCTACATCTGGGTATGTTTTCACGATAGGATCGTGCGCTGTTTACTGGAAAAGCAACAAATAGGGGTCCACTGCAGATTCCACAACTGAGGCCGAGTACATTGCCGCAAGTGAAGCTGCCAAGGAGGTCGTGTGGATGAAAAATTCATACACGAATTGGGAATGATTCCATCCAGCACATCACCCATCCCGTTGTTGTGTGACAACAATGAAGCGATTGCCCAAGCTAAAGAGCTTCGGGCCCACTCGAAGTCAAAGCACATCGAGAGGAAGTACCATGTACTGCGGGAGATCGTTGGTAGAGGGGACATCCTAATTCAAAAGGTGGCATCAGTAGATAATGTGGCAGACCCATTGACTAAGCCACTCACACAGAAGGTGTTTGAGAAACATGTGGAAAGTATGGGACTCCGGCTTGTACCAGATTGGACCTAAGTGCAAGTGGGAGCTGTTAGACAGTTTTGTATGCCCTTAGCTTCAATCTGATTTGATGTACTTTTGATATTTAGTGTAAATAAATAAAGTGCATGTTTGATTCATGTTGTTTGGTATAATTCTGTGGAAAACCCTAAAATTGAACTCTTAATGAGACTCATGTTAGTTTTAAATGTTCACAGCCATTGGATAAGTCTGGGGAGATTTATCCTGCCATGGCTGATACTGGTGTACCGCCAAGTGTTGGGATGGTCTGTCTCGGCCACCAGTAAGACCCAAGGCATATGTAGTATGGGATTACTCGAATCCTTGAACCGGACCAGATTTCCAGTATTACCATG